AAAGCTGTATTTTCAGCATCATTAACTCCAGTCTTCAGGGTCACATGATCCTTCTAATATGCTGATTATTAATTTCTGATTATTATCAATGTAGAAATATTTGTATTTTTTTGTTGAATAAAACATTCAACATGTTCAACAAATGTATCTTGTTCAAACATTATCAATGTCTTTACTGTCACTTTAACCAATTGAATGTGTTTGCTGAATAAAAGTATTAATTTCTCACTGTAAAAAAATAGAAATAATATCCTACTGACCCCAATCTTTTGAAAGGTAATGTGTATATCAACACAAATTTAATAAAATGCTAACACTTTACAATAAGGTGACATTTCTTAACATTAGTTAACTATATTAGTTACCATGAATGATACTTAAACAGTATTTATTAATCTTAGTTCAACATTTACTAATGCATTATTAAAATCAAAGGTAGATTAGGGAACACTATTCACTATTAACTAGTTGCTAATTATCATGCATATTACTCACATATTAGCCGTTTATTAGTATAAAGCACATTAATGAATGAACTTAGTCTAGATCCCTTAACCCTACCCAATACCTAAACTTAACAACTACCTTACCAATAACAAGCAGCAAATTAGAAGTTTATTGAGGCAAAAGTCGTAGTTAATAGTGAGCATGTGTTCGCTAATCTAAAGTGTCACCACAAAGCTTAAGATGATATTGTACATTGTTAATTCATGTTAGTTGATGCAATAACTAATGAGACCTTATTGTAAAGTGTTACCAATGGAATAAATAAATAGGCACTTGTTTAAATAAATATTTTTTTAAAATTATTATTATTATTCACAAATGGAGATGAGAGTGCACCTGTAGGAGGTTCTGTATAACGTGGGCAGGTGTGTTGTCTTAGTTTGTACCCAGGAGCAGTAGATTTTCATATGATTCGGCACACGACAAGAAACTCTGACGAAGTTAGGCGGATCTAAAAGAAGAAGAAGAAGACACAAACTATCTCATGAGATAACTTCAGACATAAATACACTTTATCTGTGAACACCCAAACAGACAGACTGCATAAGACAGCTGTTTAACTCAAGCACTGCCTTCAAGAACACGAGGGAATGTGATACGCTCGACTAAACTCACACACACGCTAGAAGCAGCAATCTCACCCTTCCTAGCAGGAAACTGTGGAGCTGTGATGCAGCGACTTCCTGTCAGAGGAAGTGCCCCGAGTTAAACAGCAAGGGCGTACAACTGCACACTTTCTAAATCTCCCAGGGCACAACGGGTTTCCTTTTTACAAGAACATTTCCACCGTTTCCAGCAGCATTTCAGAGGCATCGAGCAGCTATGAGACGTGTACAATTACAGATACCAATATTTCAGTTGTCAACAATACCAATGTCAAGCTTCTTTAAAGCTAAATGATTTATTAACATACTTTAAAGTACAAATTTAATTGGACATTAAACACGTTTCCATAGAAGCACCGTTTTAGAGGCCTTTGTATGATCTGAGATTACATTTCCAACGAGTCAATAGCATGATTCAAAGTTGATCAGATCCGTTATGTTTATGTTGCTACAACACTTTTGTTGGTTTAAGCCAACAATGTTCTTAAGATGCCATTTTCAATCAGAAGCAATGGAACGTAGTCGTGGTAGATGCCGTGTTCAATTCAAAGGTAATGAAGACAAGGCTGCGAGGGATAAACATATAGTCTGTTCAATTCATCGCATGGTGTTAGGAAGGGATGTCCTGCTGCAACACAACTTAAGGACGGTCAAGAGCATTTGTATAAAAAATGCTGACTGACTGATAAAAATCATATAGGTTTGCACTTTACATAAAAACATAAAAAATAATAAAAGCATTTGTATGCAAATAAGCATTATTAAAAGTAGGAAAAAAAACATGAACAAAAAAAATGAATAATATTTTTAATAAAAGCAATAATTAAAAAAAATTTCTTAATATAAATAAATTAATAAATAAAAGCAAAAATAAATAAACAAACAGTTATTATTATTATTAATATTATTATTATTAATAATAATAATAATACTAGCATAATTAAAAACGTAAAAATAAATAAAAGCACAAATAAATAAACGAACAATTATTATTATTATTAACAATAATAATACAAGCATAATTGAAAACTTAAATAAAAATAAATACAAACATAAATTCAAGCATAAATAAATAAATACAAGCATAAACAAATTAATATTTAATAAATAAATAAATAATAAAAGCATACTTAACTTAAAAATAAAACAAATAAAAATCATGAAAGAAAGAAAGAAAGAAAGAAAGGAAGGAAGGAAGGAAGGAAGGAAAAGAAGGAAAGAAAGAAAGAAAGAAA